GGTTTGGACAATGCTATTTCCTACACTTATTTTTAACGCTATAACAAATATTCAAAAATAAAATATTCAGTTAAAAAAAATAGAATAATAAAATGAATTATAATTTGCTTTCATTTTAGTTTTAGTTAATTTATTGTATTTTTTTAATACTTCTTAATACAGAAAAAGTCTTGTTTGTACGGTCTTTATTATATATATAATCTAAACATAAAAATACTGTAAAATAAATATAAATATATTTAATTAAATAATTAATTAATTAATTAAAAATAAAATATATTTCAATCAAATATTTTCAATTTCTACATTACTTTTATATTTTTAAATTTCTTCTCTAGAATTAATTCTTAAATAATTAAATTTAAAAATCTGAAGATAAAATATATAAAAAATATATTCATATTAAAGTAAAAATATAGGAGAAAATAGTTTTTTTTTAAATTTAAAATAATTTAATTTAAAAAATCCGAAGGAAAAATATATAAAAAATAAATTCATTAAAAAAATATATGTATATATATTTTAATAAAATATTTGCATAATAATTTTTTTTTTCATTTTAAACAATTTGTATTTAAAATTCCGAAGAAAAAAAGGTATTCAAAAAATCCCATGCCGACTTCCGACGTGAACATGAACACCCCTAGCAACCTCTAAAAAGGTTATCCAAATAGTGCCACAAAATGTTTGAACAAACGCAACAGCTCAAAGAATAATGCAGCTCACTAAAGGAGCCTGGGGGGCATGCTACACGGTGCATGGGGCACAGGTACAAACGCAAGCCGTAAGAGGACGCCATAGAAAAGTTAACCTAAAAAAAAAAAACGAAACAAAAACCAGGGTTGCCAGGGCGCGCGCAGCAGCAGTTGCTTTATGGAAAGTCATTTAGGTGAAGTTTTCTCCACCCCCCACCAGCCACCCTCCCCTCTGCCACTGCCCCTCTCTCACCCACTGCGGCTGTGGCAATTATAACACGACATCCATATGTTGCAAGTGCTACTAAGAGCCGCTGTGTGGCAGCTGTGCGCTAGATGCATTTGCCACTGCCTCCAGCCGCAGTGGCTGCTCCTCCCGCCTCCCCCACTCCACTGCTGGGTTGCAACCCGTTAATGTGTTGCACTTAAAATTTATGCCCCCGAAAAAGTAGCAGCAGGCAGGCAGACAACTTTAACTTTGTGGCAGGGCCTTGTGGAAGGTGTTGCAAAGTAGAGACAGTAGCGGCTGCAAAAAGAGTGGAATGGGAGCCTGGCAGAAAGGCTTAAAAGTGCTGTGGACTTCACACAGAGTTTGCCCCCAGAGGGAGGGAGAGAGAGGAGAGAGGAGGGTAGTCATGCGGTCCATTCGCCACAGGTGCAATATATAATTCAACCACAATTTTAATTATGTTGGTAAGAGTGAACCAGGCAGAAACATGGTGCATCATTGCGTATGCGTAAATCTTTAAATTTCGAATATTTCTTCATTTCTTTTTTACTCAAGATTTTTCGCAACAAATTTATTGGTTACTGCACTTTGGCCTGCCAGTCTGTGATTTATACAACTGCATTAAATTTCCATTAATTGTTAAAACTAAAGTAAATATTTTACTCAATTTTAGAGGCCTTTGACTGTGACAATTGGCCAACAGAGACAGAGGCAGAGACAGAGACGTGGCTTAAATGCAGGACACAAAACACACAAACCGAAAGGTGGCTTGTCTTGTAAATCAAGAGAAAGCTTTTCGCTTTCCGCTTTCCTTCTTTCCCCACAGAATAGTTAATTTTTGGTTCACCTCATTCTCTGGTCTGGCTTTGTTTTTGTTTAGAAAACTCAATTATTTATCGCAAATTTGTTTAATAAATAGCAAAGTTTTTGCTGCACTTTGAGCTTTGATAAATTGCTTTCATAAATTATGCGCCTTAGTGCTTTACTTTCTCCTTAATTGCTCTTAAAATCCTGTTATATTTTTCCCCATTTATAGGGTTTTTTTGGGGTGGGGAGGGTGGGTGCATTCTCTGCGATTATTAGATACCGATGGGAGATTCCTTTTGCAAAAATCACTGAATATTTTGCCAATTAAATGAATCCTTCACGCATATCAATTTAATGCAAAAATAAAATACAAAGGCAAAAATCCTGTGAAAAATAAACAAACGCATACGTATGCCGTATGCACAAAAAAAAATAAATACAACACAATAAGCGGAATGAAATAATAATGTTTCTACATAACAAAAATGGGTGAAAATTAATTAATTTGCCGCTTGCATCTCGGAGCCTAAGCAAAAACAATGGGGGGCCTTCAATGCTTCGATAGCAGGCGGCAGAAATGATTGCATCGCATCACGGCTGCCAATTATAATCACCATCAACATAAACACCAACATCATCAACATAAAAATGTAAATTGTGCTCGTGTGTGTCAGAGGGAAAACAACAACAACAATCAGGCCAAAGGCCACTTCGTCGCAATAAGCAGCGAAAGCACGGAGCTGCCCAAAAGTATGCTATAAAATTATGCACTTTACAATTGCACTCGCAAGGCTATGGCAGGGCCTGGGGCGGGGCGGGGGGCGTTGCAGGCAGGAACGTCGCGTAAGAGAGAACGAGAAAGCACCAGTGCTGCCAATTCAGCTGCTTTATAGCTAGCTCTGGCTATTTTTAAAGTTCTATTGCCAGAAAAATGGTTACTAGAATTAAAAATATTTATTAAAATAAAAAAAAATTTTAAAAAATTCATATTATAATAAATATAATATATATAAGTATATATGTAAATAGTATATATAAATATATATGTACATATGTACATATATAATAAATTAATATTATATTAAATTAATATTTTATTAAATTAATATTATATTAAATTAATATTATAATAGATTACTATTCAAATAAACTATAATATTCATTATTATTATTTTTATTAAATAGTATTATTATTCTTATTAATTATTAAAATTTGGTATTAGCCGGAGGAAGCCAGACTTAAAACAAATATTTTAGATATTTTTAAAATTTTATTTTTGAAATTCTATTAAAATAAATGTGGCAGTTCTGTTCATAACAAAAAAAAAAAGAAAAAACAAAGCTATGCCTTTGATGTCTAACGATAATCTCTGATATATCACCATCTCAAATTTGGTTCGATCTTTTGCTTATAAATATACATAAATAATATAAATATACATATATATGTGCATAAATCACTTAATTAAAAAATGCCTCAAGAATATAAGAAAAAATTTTGCTATACGTTGGTTGCTGAACGGAGTTCTGAGCTTTCAAAGCATAAAGAATAGACAAAATATAATAAAAATGTAATAAATAAAGTGTTTTTTTTTTATTTAAAATTCTATTATTTATTGCATATTTTCCACAGAAACAACAGCTATTTTTGTTTCATTTATTAAATAAAAAATTTCTTGTTTGAAAAATATGTTGTCTATTTTTACAGATTTCTTTTTTTATTAATAGATTAATATTTTCTCGTAAAATAGTTGTCTATATTTAAAGATATTTTTGTAATAAAAGTTTTAAAATTTGCCAACACTGGAGAGCACTGAAAGACAAAAATTAAGGTAGAAAGAGAGACCTAGAGAAAGAGCTTCCTACTAAATAATTATGTAAAGATTATGTAAATATTTTAAACACAAATTTAGATATTTAATATATAAAATTCAAATTAGGATTTTTCTTAAGAAACTGGTTCCAAATAATTCCAAATAGATGGAAATACTTAGGATAACATTTTAAAATTTGATTAGGAGCGTCTCGTGTGGGTCTCCGTCTCTGGGCCTCTCCAAAATATTCCTAGTTTTTTCCGCACTTTACACAAAAATGTCAAAAAATAATGTATTAATTGTTGTATATTTTTCTATAATTGCGAAACTGATTTGTTGATAATTTCCTTTGATATTTTCTGGGCTGTGCTTGCCCTGTACCTCTTCAATAATTTAAAATATTACGAGATTTATCTCTGAATCGGGGGCAGCATTGGGGGCATTGGGTAAGCGGCAAGCGATCCGAATTGTGGGGATTGGGGCATCAGTTTCAGGGATTGGGGGGATTGGGGGGATTGCTTGGTGGCAAAAACGCAGCTGCTTATTAACAATAATTTCCCCAAATGTGTGGTTACGTTTAAGCCGCAACAAATGCCAGGAAAAAGCACCCATTTCCACCCCTCAAGCTGCCAGCCTCCCTCCAATGTATCTGTATTTACAATTATTAACGTGTATGACACACACACAGACACACACATGGAATACACCGACAAATGTGCGAGGGCAACAGCAATAATAATGTATCTGTATCTGTGTGAATAATGATAAATGTCTGTATGTGTGTGTGTGTTTTTGTGTGTGTCCTGTTGTTGGATTGGGGGTCTCTTGGGTCTGTGGGGCCAGGCAATTAAATTAAACTTAACACAGGACCCCTGGCCCAGGGTCCGAAAATGTAGCCCCCAAAAGAGAGACAGAGAGAGCGATCTCCAGCTGGTGGTCTGCTGCTGCTCCATGTGTGGGCGTGGCATTGGCAATCAGCAGTTACAGTTACAGCAGCTAATTATAAGCATTGACTACTGGAGGTTTAACGACACACCAGAGACTGCCACTGCCACTGCCACTGCTCCACCTCGGAGGCCAATCCAATGGACGGCTCAATTATATTTCAATAAAATTGGCACTTTTTATTGAGTAAAGCTTGGGAGATGAAGAATTTTTGGCACACGGTTAAAAACAAAAACAAAAAATTATGTTTAATACTGGCCACGGTAGCAGTAAACTTGTTTGCAATAAAATACAAAACTTCCACATGAAAAAAAAAATAATAATAATTAAACTTTTTATTTACGCTTCAAACCAAATATATTTGGGACTTTAGAAATATTTAATGAATTATAATTTTTTTTAATTAGAATTGTATTTTGTATTTTTTATTATCAAATAATATCACTGGAATTTATTTTTAAAATTTCAAATCTGAATTACAGTGCAAAAAAAAATCAGACGAAAGAGCACTTCATACTTTATTAAATACAAAAATTTCATTCCTAATCATAATCGGTATCGTCAGAGCGTCAGATAGTATACAATTGATATCCAAAGCCAAACTGAAAAAAGCGCTGTAAGAGAAAGAGGTATTCCGTCGGGGCCTGGAAATGAAATTGACGGCTGGCTTACCGCAGTGGAATAAAATTCTAATTGAGGTCCTAATAATTTCATTATTTTCAGAGAGTTTCGTTAGATCTAGGATGCGTAAAGCGAGCAAAGCGACTCCGAACACGAGCATTAACACGATCCATACCATCACAAGAAACTTATTTTCCTGTTTACGAAATAGAAATAATAGGGGGGGCGGGGGGGGAGTGGAGGCATATACTTGCATAATAGATTCCGAAGATCAGAACAATGGCGACTAGGATTAACCCAGACCAGATCACAATGTGAACCACAAGAAACCACTGTTCAGATCCTAGGGAATTGTACGGGGAATTGCACTCTGCATCATTCACATATAAAGATTATTTGCTTACGTTTTATGCTTTCCAGAATTATGTTCAAAAAGGAAACGAATATCGCAGATCCTGCGGCGAAATATGCATTATATTCTGGGCTTCTGCCGCACATTTTGATTTCACGAGTCACAAAAAAATATAATAAAAAAATTACTCAATCAAGAAATTTTCAATCTGACAATGCATGAAAAGAGAACGAGATGTAGGAGTAAAACACATTTTTCAATGTATTGCTGTGCAGGGTGGCTGCTTTTTGGGCTGTTTCAGTAGATCTTATAGTCTCTGAGATCTGGACCCGACAGACAGGGCTCTATCGACTCGGCTATTGATGCTGATCAAGAATATATCTACTTTATGGGATCGAAAACGCCTCCTTCTGGGCCTTATACACATCCATTTTCGGAACATATCTGGTATACCCCTATTTGATTTGATGACGATGCCCGGGGGGGGGTGATACTCAAGGATTCGAAACATTGTATACCCTTTCTTTCGACAGATACTAATACAAAGCAACAGCTGCGCGGAATCCTCAAGGCTGCCAGAACCAGCCACCAGTCGAGCGTTACGGGTTCGGTGAATCCTGACGACGAGCCCAGCACCTCAAGGCAGGCCCAAGATGGTCTGAGGCGTCAATCGAAGTCGATAACGGCCGTCGATTCGAATGGTACTCTCTGCAAGCAGGGTGCCATCGAATGCCACGTGCCCAACAGCTCGGACGACAGCATCAATGGTGTGGACGTGGCTTCCGTCCGGGACCAGGAGCAGTCCGGGAGCAGTCACAAATATGTGTCCAGCACTCGCACGAATGACTGGAGCTGCTGGACTGAAACGCAAAGCAATAGCGAATCGGTGTATCCGGCGGACTCGTTGTACACAGCCGATCCGGTCGTTACAGTGGATCGTCTCTATCCGCTGGCCCCCAGCCCCGACCGTGGGAGCTTCTGGATCGGCTTTGTCAGCAGCCTCTGCGACTGGTTCAAGTGCATTGCCGCCGGCTTTGGTCTGACTGGCCAGGAGGCGACCTCGGCCTGGTACAAGCACTGCTGGGACACTCTCGCATCCGACTCTACACCACCACACTCGGGCTGAAGGGCACCACTGCCATAACCATCGCTCCAAAATAGCAATTTTTGGCATTTCAATTTCAATTCACCTTTCAATTGAACTTGAATAAACTCTAATTACGAAGATCACTTATCCTTTTGTCTTCGTTCGAGTAGTCGTGATATCTATGCCCGTGATCCCCCATAATCATCAATCAGCACGAGACGACTGAGCAAGGAAGATGCTTCTCCTTAGATAGATTACCCATAGGTTTCTACAAAAATTACCTTAAACCACGGCAAATCAATATACCTATCAAGGAAGAAAAAAAAGACCTGGGTCTTTTAATTAATTTTTTTTAACTTTTAAAAATCAAAATTTTAAAAATAAATTCCGCAAAAAATTATTAACTTTAAATTTTTAACGCCTAATATTTTCCAGGCTACAAACTGTTTGGCTCCGATTTATAGCTGCATTAATCAGCTTTATAGAATGGCAAATCAATCAATACACCCAGATTCAAGATAATAAAGTTATGTGAAAAAAGAAACACAACCTCTGATTTTTTTATATATATTTTCAACAAATTTTTTTTATATTTTCTATATTTTAAAGTTTTTATATTTTTTTATATTATTTTATACTTTTGTATATTATTTTATATTTTTTATATTTTTTTTTATATTTTTCATATCAATTAATACACCTAGATTCAAGATATTAAAGTTTTGTGCAAAAAAAGAAGCACAACACCTGATTTTATTTTTTATTTTTTTGTATTCATTTTATGTTATTTGTATTTGAATATAAAATATTATCACAGACACAATGTTATTTTTTTTTTTTTAGTATTTAAAAGTTTGTATTTGATTACAGAATAATAATACAATTATGTTGTTTGCTCTTACTGTTAGAGCAACTTATGGAACAATCACAAAGAAAAATATGATTTAAAAAAAAATATATAAATATATAAAAAATGCGTGTCATCAAGGTCTAAGAATTATGAGGGGGATATTTTGCTTAATTTGGTTCAATTACCTGTCCAGGTTTCTAGGGTAGAGGTCCTCTTAGATTATCCTGCTGGGCAGTTCGACTGGGTCTATTCTGGCCAGCCTCTGAACAAAAAATTTAAAAATATATAAATTTTTTTTAATTAAAAAAAAAACACCTAAAATACTTTAAAATAAATATCGAAATACTTAATATAAAAATAAAATACATTTACTTTATATATTTTTTTTATTTTTTTAAATTACATTTAAATATAAAATTGATTTATATAAATATTTGTAGATAATGTTATCGTATACTGTTATTATTAATATTAAACGAAAAAAAAAAAATATTATTTAAACAAAGTTTTAAGCAATTTCCACAATCTGATAGCAAATCTATTGGTATACATTTTTAGGTAATTTTTGTGTGGGTGTACTAATTTTTCTGTACTATTTATACTCCTACTTCTAGTCGTCTTTCCATCTAGAAATATCTAATAATTCCCTTGGAAAAACCCTAGATACAAATGTATCTATAATCCCCTTGCCATCTGTCATGTTTTCGACATTAATTCTTGGCATTTTGCGGTTATATACTCACTTGATTTGCCTCTTGATTTTCCCCTTTTTGGCAGCCACTTAATGCCTTCATCAAATGGAAACCACAGAATACGTATCCCTCTCTGACTCTCTGTCTCTCGCTAGATGCATCTGCATTGTTATTTCAATTGAAATATCAAAAAGATAATTACCATAATAATATTGCAGCTACCAACAAAAGGTAGCCCAGCAGAGGGGTGCAGAGAGGGTGGTTGGGGTGGGGGGTGGGGAACAGAGAGAGAGAGAGGAGTGACAGAACACAATGGCAGTGGTAATAAATGCAAAATGAAAGGCGAAAATAGAGCACAGAACACACACACGAGAGGGGAGGTAGGGTGGGAGGGAGTACGTGAAATTTATTACCGCCAAATACACTAGGGTGCTGGGGGGACGTGCTGGTGTTGAAGTCCCATAAAGCGCTTTTCCACACACACTCGCGCACACGTGAAAGGACTCACACATATGAAGCACATTAGCGATTTGAAATCAACTTCAGGGAAACAGAAACAGCCCAGAGAGTGGGGGAAAGTGTGGGTAGACCAGGGCTAAAGCTAGAAAGAGACAGATAGAGAAGGAGGGAGACAGAGACAGAGACAGAGACAGAGCTCGCGGGGGAATTCTTTGGCACAAATTTGAATTTTATTTGCTACTTCCGTTCGTCCTTCCATCCTGCGCCTCGCATGAGTACTCCTTTTCCCCCACACCGAACGAGGTACGACTGCCGCAGCACCTGCCCCAAACTACCCATCAAGTTGCAAGTAATTTAGTTGAAGCTTCCTACGCGGCAGCGTATGGAGATGCTGACAAAATTTGAGACCACATTTTGAAGGGATTTTTGCGGGGGTGCGTAGGCTTCCAAATCAATGCCTTGAACGTCCTCATCGCCATCGCCACCCGCCAACCGCCACCAAACGGACAACATGCCACACGGAAGAGTCGCCCAATTTTCTTTCTGCTATTTGTGAATTTTAAATTATATTTCATATATCTGACTGGTGTTTCAGTTTGAGCCCAATGCCATGGGATCAGCACTTTCGGTTGAGCGGAATATTCAATATTTGTCTTGTACACAAATGCATTCACTGGGAATGCCTTTCCACGCGTTTGACTTGATTTTTATGCACATTTTGAGGCCAATTTGGTTGGCAGCAAGGAAAAGCAATGAACAAATTCAGACGAAAGAGCACTTCATAATTTATTAAATACAAAAATTCACAAAAATTTCATTCCTAATCATAATCGGTATCGTCAGAGCGTCCGATAGTATACAATTGACGGCAGGCTTACCGAGGGGGAAGGCAAGTTGCACTGAGGTCTTAACAATGTCAGCCGTTTCAGAAAGTTTCGTTAGAAGTATGATGTATGCAGCGATAAAAATGACTCCGCACACGATAGCTACCACGATCCATACCATCACAAGAAACTTCTTTTCCTGTTTACGAAATAGGAATAATAGGGGCGGGGGGGGGGGGGGGGGGGAGTGGAGGCATGTACTTGCATAATGAATTCCTAGGATCAGAACAATGGCGGCTAGGATAACCACACAACTGGTCACAATGTAAAGCACCAAAAACCACTGTTCAGGTGCTAGGGAATTGCAGGGGAATTACACTATGCATCGTTCACATATAAAGATTATTTGCTTACGTTTTATGAATTGCAAAATCATGTCCAGAAACGAATAGGCTATCGCAAAATATGCGACGAAATATGCATTTTTTTCTTTGCTTTCGTAACACATTTTGATTTCACGAGTCAAACTAAATTTAATACAATTATTCAATCAAGAAATTTTCAATCTGACAATGAAAGAAAAGAGAACGAAATGTCACCGGAATATGCCACCGAGGGTGTACATCATCACGGTCAATGGGTTTTAATTAGCCACCTTTTTTTGGGTCTGCAGGAAAATGGAAAATGGTTGGTGGCCGTAAGTAAAAAGTGAATTTGTAACCCGAAAAACGTGAGATGACCGCTGCCAGGCATTGTGTGTGTGAGTTTTGGCGATTCAGTGAATTTTATTTTAAGTTGATTTTATTTTTTAATCATTTATGTATTTTACTTAGGTTAGGTTAGGTTTAGGCGGTATCCTGGAGGGGGCTCATGTTTTATTTTTTGTATTTATTATTTTTTATTTTTAATATTTTTATATTATTTATAATATTGTTTATATCATTGATTATTATACCCGATACTCAAAATGAGTATTGGGGTATATTAGATTTGTGGTAAAAGTGGATGTGTGTAACGTCCAGAAGGAATCGTTTCCGACCCCATAAAGTATATATATTCTTGATCAGCATCAATAGCCGAGTCGATTGAGCCATGTCTGTCTGTCCGTCTGTCCGTCCGTCCGTCTGTCCGTCTGTCCGTCTGTCCGTCCCCTTCAGCGCCTAATGCTCAAAGACTATAAGAGCTAGAGCAACGATGTTTTGGATCCAGACTTCTGTGATATGTCACTGCTCCAAAAATATTTCAAAACTT